GTGAAGGCCCAGCCAGCCACGCCCGACGACGGACCCGATCCACACCTGGCGATCGTGGTGATCTGGTCGGTCCTCTGCATGCTCGTGGGCGTGATGCTGTGCTGGTGTGGCCGATGCATGTGCCTGTACCTCCCGAGGTCAGCTGCAGGACGGACGGGCAAGGGCTGCTCCAAGGGTCAGCCCAGTGAGAGCTCGGAGAGGGGCAGATCGGAGCCAGAACCCGATCCGCCTCCAGCACCCGACGCTCCCCGTGATCCATGTCGGGAGCCGTCGGAGCCGCGTGGCAGGGGCGTGCTGCTGTTCCACCTGGACACGGTCGGGTCCTCGATCCATTCGAGTCCGAACTGCCAGGCTCTGCGCGATCGGCATCACCCGCTGGTGACGAGGAGGGGTTGCCTGATCTGCGCTCGGTTGCTGGGCCAGGGAGTGCGCATGCTGCACCACACGGACAGTGTCGAGAGCGCGGTCCACGCCGACGCTGCCTGCCGCGGGTTGAGGTCGCGGAGGCGTCGTCTTGTGAGCCGCGGAGCGTGTGCGTTTTGCTTTGGGCATCGTGGCTAGTGCCTGCCCGCTGCGCGTGCGCCCTCGGCAAGAGGCTCGAGGAGGGGTGTCGAGATGTATCGCCCCCGACGCCCTTCCGTGCCTCCCCTACATATCCCTTTCCCGCTCTCACCCATGCACTGTACTGAAGCCGTTTTGGCGCTGAGGATTTGAGAGTGAAACGGATCGGCATCGTTTATTGCTGTCAAGAGGAGAGCAATTGGCGGCCTGCGGAAGGCGACGGTTGCAACGGCTGGAATGAGAACCAGAGTCTGGGAGATCTCGCTGCTGACGCCACAAATACGGGGAACAAGAAAGAGGGGCGAGGTGCTGCAAATGCGGCGAAACATGGCCCGAGACCGCCAGGGCGAGGGCAATGAGAACGCCAAAGGCAGAGGGCGCGTGAGTGGGACAAAAGGGCGCGCGAAAGAAAACCACGCGGGACATGGAATCAGACAAAGCCGCGCACACTTCAGTGGTCAAGCGCCCACGAGCGAGCGGGGAGCTGCGCGCGCAGCCAGAGTGCGGGTGGGGCACGACAGAGCAACGGTGATCGAGATGGATTTAACTTGGGGCGGCCACAGCCAGAGATGCACCCCGGTCGCTGCGCAGTGAGCATGAGCCAATTTGACGCGCCCGAAAGCCCTTCGGCAGACCCCGCGAATCTATATGCGCATATAAAGATTAATAGCGCGAGAGATGCGGCGCAGGGTGGGGCGCCAGAAATTCAAGTATCAAACGCACGGCCACAGCGAGGGGCTGGCGCGCGAAATGCGAGAGGTCGACGGAAACAACCGGCCGGGCGAGGTGCGCGCCGCGCCGGGAGATAACCCATTGCCCAATGGAAACGGTCGCAGTGAACTTGGACCCGCGGGGATCGCAACGCGGTCGGGGCACCCGCCGCGGCCGCGCGCGCTCCGTTGAAGCAGTCCGAGGCATCGATAGACGGCCGCGTTTGCAGCGCGGCCAATGGAACCGCAACCGGGGGCCATGGCCAGCAAGTAATACGCAGCACCCCGCAGATGCGGATAAGAGTGAGGGGGCGGCGGGGGCGTCGGCAGTTGGCGAGGCTCTGGAGAAGCCCGCCGCAGGCGCCGAAGTTGCACAAATTATACGACGAGCCCGCCGCAGGCGCCGATTTTTTCGTTAACCCAATGTGTGTAGGTCGCGGGGCGGGTCGCGGGTGGGTCACGGGGTGGGTCGCGGGCGGGTCGCGGGTGGGCCGCGGGGCGGGTCGCGGGCGGGTCGCGGGCCGGGTCGCGGGCGGGGCGCGGGGCGGGTCGCGGGCGGGGCGGCGACAATCAACAACGACAACGACAACGCAACAACATAAGTCTCACCACGAATTCTTTATTCAGCCACGCACCCAGGGACAATGAATGACCTTTCGGCCCCCTCACTCTGACTTGGACATGGCGAAGTAGGAGATGCAGCGACGACGCCCGCGCAGGCCGCAGACGCCAAGAAAGCTGCTGGCTCAGGCAGGGAAATGGTAGCAGCTAGCTGCAAGATGGCAGTGGGCAGAAATCGCCAGGCATCTCGCGCAGTCGCCTCGAACGCACAACCCTGGCACAAGGGCGGCGAACAGTGGCATTATCTGGGCGACCCAGTTTACTGTCGAAGTACCAGAAGCAAGACCTAGAAGCAGGTGCATCGCGCACGTGGGCATGGTAACCAGCAGGGTTCGCCGAGGCAGCCCCCCCCCCTCCCCCGAAGGCGTTTTGTTTTTGGGGGGGGGCTCTCCATTTGGTCCCGCAAGCCGCGAGCCCCAGCCGACAAACCGAGGGCGTTGACGGCGCGGGCAGGAAAGGCGGGGCCCCGCAGGGGGCGCCGAAGCGAAGGCAAGTTGGAGCTGAGAAGGAGGTCGAGACGCCAATCAGCTCTCTGATCCGAACTTCGCAGTGGACGCAGGAAGCAGCGAGGTCCGAGGCTGACCAGAGACGCGCGGAGACATGCGCACAGGAATTTGGGCTGGACCAAAGCAGAGAGGCGCGAGGTGCCAGGGGGAAATTACCTCGGGGCGGGATAAGCAGAAAGAGGGGCCACTAAGCGAGGAAGATCACAGGAGGCATCAAGCACGCGTGGCCCGGGCGGATCATTCAACCCAAGGTAGATCGACTACGCAATTCTCAGTAAAAAGAGCTAGCCAGACACATGTCAGCGCCTTCTGTAGGATCTTGGCGACTGCTCGTTGAGCTAGAGGCATATTCGAGGAGTCGCGGCAGGGCCAGGCACGCGCGCAAGCGCCGGCGGGTGCCGACGCAAGTCACCGCGCCACAAATTACGCAGCACTCACAGGGACAGGGGCATCCAGCCCAGGAAATGTAGTTATGTTGGATCACCGCAAGATAAGTTCATGGTGCACGACCCAGTCAGTAGTTGCAGTGGCATCCGGAGAAGCAGAGTACTATGGCCATGTAAATGATGCACCAGTAGCACTCGGATTACAATGGGCCCGAAGGATTGCCGCGGAACATGCGACATCGAGCTCAAGAGCGATGCCACATCCGCAATCGCCATTGCCAGTAGACGCGGGCTGGGTAGAGCACGGCTGGAAAACATGAGATCGCCAACCACGGACGGCGACCTGGGCGCCAAGGAGGTAGGCGAGGCAAGCGCAGCGTTGGGCGCAAGAGGAGGCTCGCGCTCAATTCTGTCATGCGCAGGGGGGAATCGCCGGCGACCGCAGGGCCATTGCGCGCGCGGCCGGCGACCCAGACGATGACCCGAGGGGAGCTCCAGCTAATTATGGCCGCAGGTGACCCACCCTTCATGGCAGCTCCGCCTGACCCGCCGGAGCCCTCAAGCGCGTCGGGCGCAGCTAACCCTCATGAGCCAGTTCAGCAGGGGAGATCCAGGGGCGCCACAGACCAGATCGGCCGCTGCCAATCTCGCGCGCCGGAGGGAAAGGGGCCGAGTTCGCCGACGAAATGACGCAGCGAAAGGTGGCGGCACAGGCAAGGGGCAACCAAAAGGGTCGAGCCCGCAGATAGATAGTCCGAGTCGGATTCCGCCCTGGAGGGCGCCTCTCGGGCCCCCTTTCGCCACGTCGCCGCTCGCCGAGCCCAGCGGGCCGAGATGCCCGCATTAGCGCGGGCGAGATGGCTGGCCCAGGCTTCTCAACGATGGCCCAGGGGGCCTTTGCCATGATCCCACGGGCGCCATAACCTAACAGAGGCAACCAGGAGGTGGCAGGCGGCCGCATCAAGTCGCGCGGCAGCGTCTACTGCGCGCAGCCTGAGGCTTACCAGGAAGGACCATCGAAGTGGCGCGACGCGCTCACGGAGCACCGCCATTACGAGCACGATGGCTGGGCGCAGCTGCCGACGAGTACCCAGGCGCACTCCCCCAACAATCGAGAGGATTACTCAGGACCGCGAGTGCTTCACACATCCCACTGCAGGCGCGCGACCGGAGCATCGACGACATAACCCACATCCGCTTTAGTTGCTTGTCCGGGCTCCAGGGGCGAGAGTGTATTAACATGGCCGCCACTTGACTCGGCATTTTCTGGCCGGGTCTCTCCACGGCTCGGCCATGAATTTGCTTCACAGCGCCTCGACAATCAATGGCGAGCATCGGGTCATTCAAACGGGCGCGATCCGGGTTGGGCCTTTTACCCGCGAGTCCGGGAGGGATGTCGCCCCTCGGTGACGGCCCGGAGGCACAATGCAGCAATTTCGACGCTCCAGTCAGGGGGCCACGCTCTTACGAGACCAGGTTGGTGGATGCACCTGAGTTAACCTGGCAACGAAGTTGATCGCAACGACGTGTAGGCAGGGCGCCGTCCGGCCGATGTGCACCCAGAGGGTCGATGACAATATTCATTGGTATTGCTTCCACCGCGGCATCAAACTGATGGAGAAGATCCTATGGCAGTCCCAGATACCTTCGGGTGAGAACCACCTGTGGGCCACCAGCCAGTAATGGGCACTCGATCATCATACGGAATCAGCCCACGGAGAGAGAGAGAGAGAGAGAGAGAGAGATAGAGAGAGAGAGAGAGAGACCCATCGTAACCAGAGGTGGATTGCGCCATTCCCCGGGCACTCGGCAGGCTCAACAGGATAAACGAGCAGTCCGTCCGCGGAAACCCATGGCGGATCGTGACGAGGCCATCGGCACACACACACACACACACACACGCGCACACGCACACACGTGTGTACGATACCGCTTACGGCCGGAGAGAGCTCGATTCGAATTACCGTCTTTCTGGAGGAGATGAAGGAGCAAGGGGGACGAAGATGAGGACGAGTACACGGACGACGTGTAGAAGGAGGACGACGAGAAAAAGAGGAGCAAGACAAGGAGGAGGGCGAGGAAGAGAAGGTGGAGGAGGAGGAGGAGGAGGAGGAGGAGGAGGAGGACGAGGAAGAAGAGGAAGAGGAAGAGGAAGAGGAGAGGAGGAGAGGAGGAGGAGGAGGAGCGGAGGCCCAGCACCCCGCGCGCTCCCCGAGGGGCCCGCGCCGGCTTCATGTCCTTCCCCAAGGCCCGCGCGTGACGCCATCCGCGGGTCCGCCCGCATGTCCAGCCACGGGCGCGCGGCCGAGGCGGTGGTTCGTGAGGAGGGGGGGGGGCGGGGAGGAGGGGGACACTGGGAGGAGGGGGGGAGGAGGGAGAGGAGGAGGACCAGGAGACGGAGGAGGAAGAGGAGGAGGGGGAGGAGGAGGAGGAGGAAGAGGAGGAGGAGGGCGAGGAAGAGGACGAGGAGAAGGACGAGGAAAAAGAGGAGGAAGAGGAGGAAGAGGAGGAGGAGGAGGATGAGGAGGGGGAGGAGGAGGAGGAGGAGGCGGAGGACGAGGAGAAAGGAGGAGGAGGATGACGATGAGGAGGACGAGGAGGAGGAGGAGAAGTGGGAAAGAAGGGGAGGAGGAGGAGGATGAGGAGGAGGAGGAGGAGAAGGAGGAGGAGGAGGAGGAGGGGGAGGGGAGGGGAGGGGGGAGGAGGAGGAGGAGGAGGAGGAGGAGGAGGAGGAGGAGGAGGAGGAAGAGAAGGAGGAGGAAAGGGAGGAAAAGGAAGAGGAAAACGAGGAGGAGAAGGAGGAGGAGGAGGAGGAGGGGGAGGGGGAAGGGGAGGAGGAGGAAGAGAAAAAGGAGGATGAGGCGGAGGAGGAGGAAGAGGACGAGGAGGCGGAGGATGAGAAGGAAGAGGAGGAGGGGGAAGATGAGGAGGAAGAGGAGGAGCGCGCTCCTGCCTGGCGCAGGCCAGCGGCGGCTGTTGGCGGGCCTGGGCCTGGCCTTGGGGGGTTCCACCAGCACTCGACCAATGCGCGCACGGATTGCGCACCCCCCCGCCGGATAAAGACGAAGAGCAGGGGAAGAAGAGGAGGAGGAAGGACGAAGGCAGCATTGTTGAATGGATTAGGACGCCACCAGTGTCCAGTTCCCAGGGGGAGGGTGATGAGGAGGCAAACAAAAGAGGGAGGAGGAGCAGGAGCAGGGAGAGGTCGGATGTGTCCCCTCCCCCGTCGATTCTTTTTTCGTTTCCCTCTCTGTGTTTCCAGGTTTCCTTGCTGGGTTCCGAGTAGAAAAGGGTCGGAGGATCGCGCCGCACCACTGATGTATCGCCGATACGGCTCGATATGGAGCCCGATGTTTTCCTCCACGCTGATGTCGCCGATGCGTCGATGACGTCGCCGATGCATCACCGACGCATGATCGATGCATCGTGGACACATCGGCGATGCGGCGCGACCCTTCGACACCAATATTTCGGACACCATTTGGGCGTGCTCTACTATTCGTGTCGTCGTCGTCATCGTCGTTGTTGTCGACCTTTGAATATTGTTGGCCGGTGCGGGACTGTCATAACGCCCGTACTGCGGCCGCACGTATTGCTTTCCGAGGCCCTTTTTACAACCATCGTGCACGCAGAGATGGTCGGACGGCTCCTGGGCCTCCAGGACGTTTTTCGTCGCCACAGCTGGATCGGCTTGAAGACCGGGTCAACATGGAACCCCGGAAGGACCCGGAGATGTATGTTGAGCGGATTTGGGTTGAGTGGGGGCGTAATTCGGCGTTCTTATCCCGAAACGCATAGATTGCGTCTGTCGCGACGCCGGTTGCCGCCACTTTTGTCTTACGCACTTCTGTTTTGGATTTCCCACAGGAGACGAAACACCAAACACTCACAATTTTCTGGATGGTCCAGCGGACTTGGACTCTACGCTGATCCAGGTTACACCTCGCCGTCCCCTGCGGGCTGCGGGCTGCGAAACTGTCGCCCCGTCCGTGGATTCCTGTGGGTTCGACGGGGCGGTGTTCTACGAGGGTCCGAATGAGAGTTTGCCCCCATTGGTAATTGGTGGGTGCGAAGTTCGAATTTGTCATTGCTCCCGCGGGCTCTTTGGAGATCTAGCAGAGTGGTGTCTTACGCAGAACCGAAGCTGATTTCGTCCTTGTCGGGGGGGTGCGAAGTTCGAAACTGTCGCCATTTTCGTGGGTTCCTGGCAGGTCCAGCGGAGTTGTGTCTTAAGCTGATTCAAATGAGACCTCTTTTCCTTGTGGAGCCGCGAGATTCTAAAGTATCGCCATTTCTTGGTTATCGTTGTCATCCCGTCGTCTGCCAACCATGCCATTCCCTTAGTTCTCGAAGTACTGGTTCTCTCCAGAATGCCCTGTTAGTCATGCAACGCGCAAGCGCCCCACGTAGTATTTACAGCACCCTTCGTGTCTTGTCATGCCACCATCCGTATAAAATTGGCCCGTTTGGTCACTGGTTGCAGATGAGTTGGGTATTTCTTCACGGTAACTTTTTCCCGGAGGAAGCGGGACAGGAGCAGCGGGGGGGGGGAGGAGGAAAGCGGCGGGGGGCCGGCGACGACGGCGGCGGGGGCCACGAGCAGGGGACGGGGAAGGAAAGGGCGAGGGGGAGGCGGGAGGGAATCACCCCCTCCTAACGGAGACTCCGATGGGTAACACCCGGAGTTCAGGGTCGCCGTTTCCCGTTTTTCCGGGGAGCGCACTACGTATTCGCAGGATTTTTCGTCGCCGTTTTTTTCTTTGGGGTTCCTCGGCGTTCTTTGGGGCGCGCGATGCGGACCGCGGCTTGTTCGCGGGCCTCCTTGGGATGCGTGGCCTTATGGGGGGCGCCACCGAAAGGCCCCAGTGTCAGGGTTCACATGTGTCCCTTGGCATGCGATTTGCATTGAATGTCTCGAGGAATGCGGCTTGCACTGTAGTTTTATGTGCACATGGAAAGATACGCCACCACATGCCATACGTTGTTTTTTTGTGATTGTCCGGTCAGTGTCTCGGCGCATCGTCGTCGTTGTTTTTCCCAACCCTCCTGCGTTGGGTTCTCGTTTTGAAGAGAGCACTGCTCGCGCGTCTCCTTCCCACCCCCTCCCGTCCCTCTCTTCCCCCCTGCCTTTCGCCTCGCTCGTCGCTGCGTGCCAGCTGGGGGGCTGCGATCTGTGAAACTGTCGCCACTTTCGAGGCCTGCTGGGGGGCCCAGCACAGTCTGCCACGCGGCGGACTCAAATGGGACCTCGCCATCCCTGGGGGGCTGCGATCTGTGAAACTGTCGCCACTTTCGAGGCCTGCTGGGGGGCCCAGCACAGTCTGCCCGCGGCGGACTCAAATTAGACCTCGCCATCCCTGGGGGGCTGCGATCTGCGAAACTGTCGCCACTTTCGAGGCCTGCTGGGGGGCCCAGCACAGTCTGCACCCGCGGCGGATTCAAATTAGACCTCGCCATCCCTGGGGGGCTGCGATCTGTGAAACTGTCGCCACTTTCGAGGCCTGCTGGGGGGCCCAGCACAGTCTGACCCGCGGCGGATTCAAATTAGACCTCGCCATCCCTGGGGGGCTGCGATCTGCGAAACTGTCGCCACTTTCGAGGCCTGCTGGGGGGCCCAGCACAGTCTGCACCCGCGGCGGACTCAAATTAGACCTCGCCATCCCTGGGGGGCTGCGATCTGTGAAACTGTCGCCACTTTCGAGGCCTGCTGGGGGGCCCAGCACAGTCTGCACCCGCGGCGGACTCAAATGGGACCTCGCCATCCCTGGGGGGCTGCGATCTGCGAAACTGTCGCCACTTTCGAGCCTGCTGGGGGGCCCAGCACAGTCTGCACCCGCGGACTCAAATGGACCTCGCCATCCCTGGGGGGCTGCGATCTGCGAAACTGTCGCCACTTTCGAGGCCTGCTGGGGGGCCCAGCACAGTGGGTACCCACGGCGGGTTCAAATGGGACCTCGCCATCCCAGCACAGTCTGCACCCGCGGCGGACTCAAATGGGACCTCGCCATCCCTGGGCGGCTGCGATCTGTGAAACTGTCGCCACTTTCGAGGCCTGCTGGGGGGCCCAGCACAGTCTGCACCCACGGCGGATTCAAATGGGACTTCGCCATCCCTGGGGGGCTGCGATATGTGAAACTGTCGCCACTTTCGAGGCCTGCTGGGGGGCCCAGCACAGTGGGTACACACGGCGGACTCAAATTGGACCTCGCCATCCCTGGGGGGTTGCGATCTGCGAAACTGTCGCCACTTTCGAGGCCTGCTGGGGGGCCCAGCACAGTCTGCACCCGCGGCGGACTCAAATGGGACCTCGCCATCCCTGGGGGAACTGTCGCCACTTTCGAGGCCTGCTGGGGGGCCCAGCACAGTACCCACGGCGGACTCAAATGGGTCGTCATCCCTGGGGGGCTGCGATCTGTGAAACTGTCGCCACTTTCGAGGCCTGCTGGGGGGCCCAGCACAGTGGGTACCCACGGCGGATTCAAGTTAGACCTCGCCATCCCTGGGGGGCTGCGATCTGTGAAATTGTCGCCACTTTCGCGGCCTGCTGGGGGGCCCAGCACAGTGACGCCACACGCAGATTCAAATGGGACCTCGCCATCCCTGGGGGGTTGCGATCTGTGGAACTGTCGCCACTTCCGAGGCCTGCTGGCGGGGCCCAGCACAGTGACGCCTCCCAAGTAGCTTACACATCAAGTTGATTGTCCATACAAGTTTCGGCCAATTCCTCGTTTCCATTAATACAAATGGGTTGGGTACGTCACAAGGTAATTTCTTTCCGAAGAAAGATTTAAGTGTTGTCGCATCGCTGCTACTCGGTGACACTCGGTAAGCGTGCAGGAATTAGAGTTTCTTCGCTGGTCTCTCTGAGCGGATGAGCTAGATCCGAGTAACGGGGAGTGATGCGAGGGAGGAAGAGCAGCAGGGAGAGGGAGAGAAGGACGAGGAGGAAGAGGAAGAGGAGGAGGAGGCGGAGTTGAGAGGAAGAGGAGGAGGCGGAGTTGAGAGGGGAGGAGCAACAGCAGGAGGAGAGAAGAGAAGGAGCAGGAGCAGGAGCAGGAAGAGAGAGGAGCAGGAAGAGAGAGAAGCAAGGACTTCGACGAGGAGAGGGGCCTCTGCCGCGATGGGAGGACGGGGGGGGGGCTCGGAGCGGAGCGCCCGAGGCGCCGCCCCGAGCCGCCCACCCACCCCTCGCGCGCACGCGCGCGAGCACGCGCGCTTGCACGGTCGTGCTGCGAGCGCCGGCTGGGCGGCCGCGCGCGC